CGGTTGTACCATGCTCTAAAAGAGAGAGCCAAATTAGTAATACTTGGTATCGCTACCTCAATTCTGGAAACTTTTGGAATGTGCTGCAAAACAATGTTTTAAGTTTACATTTTGAACTGTTTACAAGCTGACCTAACATGGTTGGTTTCTTGTATGTGCTCTTGTTTTTACAAGTATATGCCTAATAAAACAATAACTACTGAATAATTTGGTTTTTGCATGAGAGAATTACCAGTGCCTCGGTTTGTGTTATCTGCCTCAGGCTTTGGCTGATAGCACGAACCTCTCCCTATCATGCTTAACTTCAAGGAATAACTGTTAAATACTTGATAAAAATAAAAGACGAAAAACACTGAAAGTTATAGTCTATCAAATTTACTGTACCTTAATATGGTAATGTATGCACATTTTAAATATGCTGGCAACAATTTCGGGAAGGAAATGACTTGTCCAAAATTGTGCTCATTTAACGAAACAAATCCTTGTGTATTCAATAGCTAATTGACCATTTTTTCAAATTTGTTTCTTACCCTAGAGCAAGATTTGAATCCAACTGCAATGTTCCATTGGGATAAACAGGTGCCACACAGACACTTGTTAGTACACTGATTTGTGCCCTGTTATCTTTACGCACAGTCCACTTCCTAATAAGCACCTGGTCATTGTCAATAGCTGTCAGAATATCACCAGAGGGAACTTGAGGGACTTCCATTGTTAAGTTATTTAGCCAGGTTTTGACGGTGGTGTTTCCTCTAGAAGGGTGGATCTTACCACGGATATTAAGGGCAAGTTTACTACGTGTCACAGAGTATACCAAGAGATTTGTAGCAAACATCAATGGGCTTACAAAAGAGGGTTGCACAATAGAATAAAGCTGATCGACAGTTACTGCCTTATGAACTGGCTTGACACTTTCTTGGCTAAGGGAATGGATTGCACATGTCAAAACTGAGTTTCTGGCCTGAATCCATGTATGAGGGGTCACATTTAACATAGAAGTTAGATTCTTGCATGTTTGATTACAAGACAAGATGTCAGTTTTCACACTTTCCTTTTCTGAGCGAAAATAGTTGAAGTAAGCAACAGTCTATCTTCAGTACTTAGCTTATTTATTTCATGTAGCTTGTTATCTCTGTCCAAGAAGATGAAATTATAGTCTTCTGCCAGATTTCTGGCACATGTAACTGCTTCCTCTTTTTCCATTAACACAATGTTGTGCATAACGGCAGTGAACCCCAGACAATACTTTTTTTCCTCTTCTGATTCGTTGTCCTCGCCACTTTCGGTTTCGCTTCCACAAGTTTCTGTTGCTTTCCATTCCAAGGGCTGTTTGGAAATCTTACGGGGACGCCCTTTTCCTTTAGATTTGCTGGCCCTACAAGGACAATAATTGTCCTCAGTGTGGCTTCTCCACACATGTGGTTCCTTCTTTGTGGCAACTTCCCCTGGATCGGAAACTGTGCGAACTCTATACAGAAATCGCTTGCACCTCGTGCAGATAGAGGATGGATGAAGCTGTCGAGATCGACATTAATTCGAAATTTCATCCAGAGCTCCGATTTGAAAGGTTCTTTGTTTGTAGCACTGACACTGGTCCGCGGCAGATTTGTGCCACAAAGACGACAAAGTGTCTCCAGATACTGAATGTGTTCGTCCATGCTGTTGGCCTGATCTGAAATTCACAATGTAGGCTTATAAGGGTCCGATAAATAATTGTCATTTTACTTTAAATTGCCCGGCCACAAAGTATGGTTAAAATTTATGGTTTCCACGATACTCCGATATATCTCAACAAAGGACTCCGCCTAGTAGTTAGCACACCAACAGACTTTCAACATCCGTGCACTCGAGTAAAAACCTCGTGCACTCGATTGGAATTTTGACAAATTGAAAGCAAATTTATTCTAGTTTTTGAAAAGATTTTTTTAGGAATCCAAAAAAATGTTGCATACCTTAAAACCTCAACTAAAGAGGGGTTATTCCTTGATCGAGCCCTCCGCAACAGGCACCTCCACCCGACTTTTCAACTGATATTTTTCTGTCTTGTCATGAATCTTTAATTGAACATGAGGTGAACTTTAATAACCCAAATCTTTTAGCATCCTTTAAGTGGTCTCTTTTATGGCACAAAAAAGGGTTTTTAAATCATACATTTAATTTAACTTTAAGGTGAGAATTAAATGAGTCTTGCTGTTTTGATATCTTTAACTGACCTACTAAAGATAGTCTAATTTTGTTCAAAGTGCAACAGCAAACGTTGTCGTGCTTACAATTCTTTCTGGGGTCGAAACGTTTGTATTGAAAACGACGGTTTTCATTTTTGCATCTCCTTTAAAAAGCACAAGCAGTGCGATGACAAGAAAGCATATCTTTTCTACGCTCACTTCAATGACTTCGTATCACGCTCAACTTTCGAAAGGCACGAGCGGAAACGTAACAGGAAGAACGTAACTGCTATTCATAAGACAGGAAGTTTTCATAACGGACAATCCATGTTTCAACTCTCAATAAAGTACTCTTACGAGTTATGGTAACGAAAAGAACCAACAAACAAAGTAACGGCAACATGAAACAACAACCAAAAATCATTTGTATAGCCGCAAACGCTAATCACTCGTATTTCAAACTTTACTAGAACAAACTTGACACATTGTTGAATACGGTAACTGAAAATGACAAATTTACAAACACGCGAATGAGCATAAAATAACTTACATCGTACGAGTGAAAGTACTGGAAAACGACAAAGCGAAATAAACAAGGATACTTACAAGACGAATGTGACCAAACCAAAGACGAAAACATGAAACCCAGAGCTAGATATGTAACGATAATTTTCGCTAACTAGACAACTAACCAAATAAATTACGCGCAACCAATACATATTCGATATGCAAATAAATATAACAAGTACAAAACTGGTAACTGACAAAGGACACTAATGACGACGAGAAAATAAACACCTAACACGAAACTATGAAACACCAACACAAACAAAAAATGATAATACAAATTCTTGCGCCTACAATTAGTGCATAACATAGCTTTTGCAAAAGTGTCTTCATTGTTTGCTACAAGCTTGTTTTGTTAATATCTTGGTCAGTTTATGACACTCGGCCAGTACATTTCGTTTGACAATTTACAAGATATAAGTTTATGCACAAACTCCGCGTTCTTCCTTTCTCACCTGCTCAGCGTTTGACCAAGAATTATCTATGAAATTTGGAGATCCTCGCAGCTAAGAACACTACTGAAACGAGTAGTTGTAAATAAGGCCTGAAAAAAATTTCAGGCTCGTACGGGATTTGAACCCATGACCTCTGCGATACCGGTGCAGCGCTCTACCAATTGAGCTAACAAGCCAACTGTGAGCTGGTCAATGAATTGGGTCTAAATAAACATCCAAGTGAATGAAGATTTTAGATATATGAAAATTCACATATTTGCACTGAAATGAAATTTCATCTTTCCACCGCAGTGCAAATATGTGAATTTTCATATATCTAAAATCTTCATTCACTTGGATGGACAACTACTCGTTTCAGTAGTGTTCTTAGCTGCGAGGATCTCCTAATTTCATCTTTCCACCGCAGTGCAAATATGTGAATTTTCATATATCTAAAATCTTCAAGAATTATCTACTTCAGCGTCGATTTCAAGACGCTCTTCCTGAACAAAATCTGTGGGTCCGGTAGGGAATTGGTGTAAAAGAAAAAATTAGTTGGCAGTGGTCTATCGCCTCAAGCAACGTTGAATAGCATTTACCTTCTAATGTGAAGATAAAGATGTATAGTAACTTATATATATATATATATAAATATATATATATATGTAACTCTTCGATATCAAAGGTAACTAACCTTCATCGTTAGATGAACTTGAAATTTCGTAAAAGAAATCACGGGAATTTGAAGTCGCCCCGAAAGTGTCTGTTAAGTTCGTCTCGTTACGTTTTAGCCCGTGCCTTTTGAAAGTTGAACGTGATACGAAGTCATTACAATGAGCGCAGTTAATATATCCTTTCTTGCCATCGCACTCCGTGCGTTCTTTAAAAGAGATGCGTAAATAATACCCCGTCGCCATCAATTGAGATATTTCGACAAAAGTTGCTGCTGCACATGGAAAAAAATTGCTATTCTGGTCAACGTAAGTGTTGGCTAATTTGTAATGCATTTCCTATTGACGGTTTAGACTACAATAAGTCTATCTTTAGTGGGTCAATTAAAGATGTCAAAACAGCGAGACTCATTTAATTCTCACCTTAAAGCTAAATTAAATGTTTATTAATTAAAAACCCTCTTTTGTACCAAAAAAGAGACCAGTTAAAGGATGCTAACAGATATGCGTTATTAAACTTCAACTTACGTTCAAGTAAAGATTCATGAAAGGTAATTGTTAGCTTTTGGATATTTCGGTTTACAATTAAAGAAGCCCAAAGCTTCAGTCAACCGTTAAGGATGCTTTAAATTTTGCCTAAAGGAACCGAAATAAGAGCATTCGTCCTGTGTTTCCATGAGATTTCTTGTATACAGGCACTGATTTAATGCAAGTTTCTATTGGTCCTCAGCAACCCATTGGAAAAGTGTATGTACGGTATTTGTTTCGCTGCAGGAGTGCTCTGTGCTCAGTATAATGCATTCAGTCATCACTAATGTATACTCCTTACCTGAGCTGAACGCCACTAAGGTAATTCAAATCACAGAGAGAAATAAAATGCAGTGACCCATAGCTGTGCGGTTGAGAGTTGAAACCAAATTTTCCTTTTAGAAAGCGCTTTCTTGTATCTTGTCTGTCGAAAAAGAACGAATGCAACAAGCTTGTGAACGTCCGGGTTTCACGCGCATCTGATCTTGTTACGTCAAGACTCCATGACCGGCTTTGCACCGGAATGTACAGCCAGCTGATTTGCTCATTTTTTTTCCCGTGCAAAGCTCGTAAAACCGTAAAACCGCAAGATCAGATGGGGTAAACCCGTAGCAAACGTGCACAGGCCTGTTGCATTCGTTCTCTTACGACAGGCAAGATACAAGAAGCGATTTCCAAAGTTTTCAACTCTCAACCGCACAACTATGGGTCATTACATTTCCTTTTTCTCTGTGACTTTTATTACATTAGTGGCGTTCAGCTCAGGTAAGCAGTAATACATTGGTGATGAATGAATTAATGATATTCAGCACAGAGCACTCCTACGGCCGCAAACAAATGCCGTACTTGCACTTTTTCAGTGGATCGCTGAGGGCCAACAGAAACTTGCAGCAAATCGATGTCTGCATACAAGAAATCTATAGAATAGAGGCGTTGTCAGAAATACGATATTTCATTCTCTTATCAAAGGATAAAAGCGCAGAATTCATTTATGCACAAAAATTATAACCTACGCGTTTCGAGATATCGAGACTACTGTTAATATGTTGAGATTCCAAATTGGAGAAAAAACCAAAATGTAATTCACAACCAATGTTAGCGTAATGTAACTTGCTCGTTACGAAATCTCAAATTTTTTCAACCTAATACTGGCCTAGCTCACCTTAGAGTCTCTGTTTGTCTGTGACTGAGCTTCACAACGCATAATCCAAAGGTTTAGGTTTCGATTTCTTACAGGCACTCTTGTTTTGTCCTTACGCTCGTTACATGACGAAAAAGGAAGCCGGACATATTTCTTCATTTTGACTGTTATTTGAAAAAAAAATTCGGTTGCTCAATCAGCTCGAACCATCTTATGTTTATCATAAGAAAAAAATCCAGTGATAATATTAATGGCACTTTACGAGTCTGTAAATTCTCTTTGTTGATTACAAATCGCAAGCGAAGGAAATAAGATGTAGCAAGATGATACTTTCCATGATTGGGTCATTGCAAGTATTGATTGTAGAAAAAATTCAATATATTTCAGTTAGGAGTGAGTTATTTAAGAAAAAAAAACGCGAAGTTACACATTAAAATTGTCTAGCCTTTTGAGCATTTGGCAACTGTGTTGGCTTTTGCATCACCATTACATATTGATTCTGTCAATGATATCATAAAAAAATGATCTCAACAAATATTGGGATGACCGAGCATGATAATAGATTATGGCTGCAATTAGTTGAATTATTTTTTTCGCATGACGCGTTCGTTTCACAGAAAACGTTTGCTAACAAATTGTGTAGTGGTATCCTTGCAGCGAAAAGTCAGATGAATTTAGATATGAGGTGAGACTATCTTGACGCCACTGTCCGTACAACAGATAATTTGGAGCGGCTTGGATGAGGACAAAGTCAAAACCCTCAGCTCGCGATTGTTTCTTCGTCTTTGAATTGAATAAATGTTTTCGATCCCTTTTGTTTTTGCCGCGCGCTGTTACAATTGTTCCCTTTATGTTATAAACCACTAAAACTATACAAAGACTTGCATTCCACGCCTCTTATCCGAATTATTTGAATTAATTTATCAAAACGAGCATATCTGAATCGCATAACTTAACGCAAATAATAAACTCGAATGCTGTCTTCACAGTTTAAAACTTTATTTTTCTGTCCTATCAATGCAACCAGTTATACTAAGCGACGTGGATTACATGTTCTTCGTATTAAACAATTCTACAACGACGCATAAGACAGTAAAAATAATCTCTAAACAAGACCTGACTCCAAGAGATTAAATCTCTTGATTGCTCGTTTGTGAAGACTGATCTTCTAAGCTTTTTTCCGTTTAGAATTGTTGCGGAGTAAGCACTAGACTGAATCAAATTGATCTGACTCGATGACTGCCAGATACGAAACTACCGCTTTCCCTGGTCGTGAATTTATTTTGATCATGTCAAATTATCGTCAGGAAACTGAAAGTTCTTTCTTATATTATACTATGAAAATAAAATATTTTCATCTGATGAAGAATAAAGCGGCATGATAAAGATTCAATTTACCAGTGATTCGCTATACGGACGAAAAAAATAATATAATGCGTATCGCAAATTGATTATCGATCGAAATGGCCCCCTCTCGCTAGAAACCTCTACCGTGCATGATCATGCGGTGAGAAGCTGAATTGAATGAACCAGTTGTTATGTTATTTCTTTGTCAAAGCGATAAATTAGAAGGGGCATTTCTAGAACATATTTCCTTTCGGCTTAAGCCATTAATTTTGATCTAGGAAGCAGCTAATTTAATTTCTTCTGTATCAAGAAGACACTTGGAAGGGTCAACTCTAAAATCCTAACCCTTTTGATGAGATATCTTACAAACCTTAATTGATATGAAAATAAATGGCCTTCTGACGTCATTTTAGCCTGATAGGGAACTCGGTTGGTGATCGCAAAACTATTGAACTATGACAAAGGATAGAATATAAAATACTGAACACAACAGCTCTTCCACCCTGACTTTAAATCAACTCACAGCCCCTGGGTCTCTGAGGATGACTGAAAACATATGACTGATTTAAAAACATCGGACGACTACGACAAAGATTTAAGACAAAAACTAGGCAACGGTTTTACGTCTTCAATAAAAACAACATTTAACTCCGAAATCCACGACAACAGCACGAGCACATGACGCGTATTGGCGAAGGTCCTGTTCCCACTATTGCTAAAATTGGGCTGAGGATAAACTGTACAATCGTGTTGGAGAATTTTGACATTGTTTTAATGTAATAATGAGTACAGTGATGACAAGAATGATAATAATAAAATTAACAATACTACTAATAATGACGGTTGTGATAATAATACCAATAATAATGAAAATAACGACAAGCGAAAAATTTATTCTATATTTAAATCTAACGCTTAAAATCGGTCAGTGCGTAACTTACATGCAAGCTTGTAAAAAGAGGCTCACCGAACACTCCTGATAAAAGATCGGATAAAATGGAGGTACTGATAATATATGATAAAAATGACATTAAAAGTTCTGATATGGAAATAAACAAGTGAAAAAAACTATATTACCCTTTATTTGATAGGTGCTGACCCTGAGTTTACTGTAAAAATTCTCGAGAGAAAATTGCTGGCGTGCTCTGTAGCTAGCGATCCAGGAAAGTTGAAGCATGTCAGTTGGTACCTCTGCTCTTCGAATCTTGAGAAAAATGGTTGCGACAGTGACGGAGAAATGGTCCTGATAGCGCAAGTTAAAGCAAGGAGAGGGGGAAAACGTAAAAACGTCCTTGACCAAAATTTTGACGTTTACGACAACGGAACCTTAGTTATCAAAGAAGTAATAGCTAAGTATGACGGAAAAATGTTTCTCTGCTTTGCCACTGTGTATTTTAAAAAGAAAGGTAGTTCCCCCGCGATCCTCAATATTGACGAAGGTGATGTTTGTATATATATATATATATATATATAGAGATGGTAATAGTATTTAATAATAATGTATTCATATTAATAACAATGGGAATTTAGCAGTGGACAATCCACGTGGTGGCTTTTGTTGTCCATAGTTTCCAGGTCGAAATGAAATTTGGAGTGTTGTTTTACTGGGGGGAAGGATAATTGGAGAACCCGAAGAAAAAATACCGAGCAAGGACGAGAAGGAACAGAAACCCACTTGTAACGCCTGTGGACCGCTTATTTAGGGTCCCGGTAGCTTAACGAGCCTTTCAGTAAAATGTTCTGTTTCCATTCACGTTGGGAGTTTCAACAGTTTTGAAACAAGTTTACGATGCAAATGAAACAAACTGGACTGGCAAATGTACTAGAACCGCCTCTCTGTTCTTTAAATTTTGATGTTAAAATATGGCTTTTGGGCCTTGAATTTTGCCGGACCTTTTTGAAAGGGGTGCCAGGTCCGGGAAGTAAAAACGGACCACAGTGATGGGAGGCGAGCGCTCTCACCACTGCGGATGCGCCATCCTCACTCCGCGCTTTCGTTTATTTAATCGTATCACTTTGGACGCTTTTTCTTTGCATCTTTGCTTATCTCTTTTTTACTCAAGAAATGCAAACTTTGATTTTTTTTTAGAACCGCTAAAATTAATACCAAAGGGTTCTCTATCAATTAAGATCTTTGAAGGAACGAATCTTTATATGGATGCGGAAGTGGGGGGCTATCCTTGCCCCAATGTAACTTGGAGCCGTAACGAGGTTACCTTACAGAATACACAGGATGTCTGTTCAGAAACAAGTCTTTTAATTCGCAGTGTCACTGCAGATGAAAAGGGACGTTACACCTGTTTCGCCAGTGATAGGTTGGGAAATACTAGCTTCACCGTTGACGTCAAAGGTAGAGGTATTGATTTTATTCAAGGTTAGGCAAGCTTCGTTAGAGTTGATGTAGGCTGTCAGGAAAAAGAAACGCAGGGAAAGTTTGCTGTTTTTGGTCTTTTTTTTTTTTTAATGTTTTTCGAGTTGTTTGTTACTTTTTTCGTTTTGCTTCGCTTGTTTGTTTTCTCTTATTTTCTTCTGTTTTGTTTTGTTTTGTTTTATCTAAACTTGCAGTGTTAGAAGAAAGCCTCATATTTTCTCACGTAAATGATCATGCGGATCTGGGTCAGCTGGTGACAACCACCGCAACATTAGGTAGGTTATTCCGCTCTTTCACCTTTCCAGAAACGAACGAGTTCTCAGCTTTTACGCCCCGAAAACATATTTTCGTTTGTTTGCCGCTAAATTACGCTGTTACCACCTTTGTCTTTCTGAGAGCAAGCTGCATAGACGCTTAAGATAGACTGTACAATTTGTGCAGTTTAACTGTCTTCGCTGGTTTGACAATTTCCCTAATTAAACTAATTAGACTACTTTGGCTATTTTAATTGCTTGAGCCAATTCATTTAGATTGTGCAGTTTGTGCAGTTGTTGCTAGAATGTACCGACCAGGGTTCCGAGAACCCCTCTCAAATTCCTTGTTGTAAACCACCATCCGGATATGTTTTTTTTATTCCTCCCTCGAGAGGGACTCGTCTCATCAATTTGCTTAAAAACAATCAACCGCTAACTGTGGTCACGTTCGAAGAATATCGCACTGTGGAGTCTTTCTAAAAATCTGTTTTGAGTTGGGTGTCGTAGTTATGATCTTGAAGA